CCCAACAGCTTTTCCCAGAAGCCCCTAGAGAAATGGAGACCAGGAGGCCAGGTCTCTTACGGTCAGCGGTTCATGTTCCATTTTGCAAACTAATTTTGTTCTTGCCGGTTGCAGTGCTCTGCCTAGTGGTGGATGGGAATTTTCTAACTCAAAAACCACTAACCTCAAACCACAACCAGCCTGTGTCAGAAACTACTCCCAGGCCGGAGCGTGTATGGTAACAATACTAAAGCTATTTGTAAAATGTTGCCAGGGTTGTCATGTTTAGAAAATTCATAGCACATTTTTGGCACATAATCTATTCTGAATAATGGTGATAAAGATGTGTGTGTATATATATATATATGAATGTATGTTTTAATGGCCCTATTTATTTTATGGATGCATGACAGCAAGTTAGCTAAATCTCCATCATCAATCCGTGATGCTCAGGTACAGATTAGATCTCTGCAAAGCCAGTTGTTTACATCTTTTAATCCATTCACGCTGAAAGCTTTTGAATTTATATAAAGATGCCACAGACCTTTTCATTGTCTTGGTGTGTGTGCATGTTTGTGTGTGCGCATACACACAAGCATGCATGTGTGTGTGTTTTACCCAATCCAGCTGAGACACCTATTTCATTGGGAAAAAATCCTGAGATGCTTTAAGATTTATGAAGTCGAAAGCATCTCTGACAACTTGTGAGAGTTGTTTCGCTACTCGCGTTGCTGCAGCGTGAACTAATAACCCAAGGGAAACTCAAACCTTCCCTGGAATTTAAAGCTGGAGACCTTAACCTCCAGGCCCCAGCGTCTGAAAGAGTTGCTAGGAGCCTTGACAGGAGATTAGGAGCAGGATGGGACCAGGAAATGATAACCAAGTCCACGGTGAAGTGGTAAGGAAGTGAACTCTTACACGGATGGCAGTGATGGAGGGTGAGAGGAGCTGGGGTTATTCAGCAAAAGACAAATCTCTCCCAGTCAGTTAAGTAGGGGCTGCTTTTACGGAAACCCATAAGAGCATATTTGCACACCAGCTGGTACACACAGCCTGCGCCATTTATTCCACCCGTGGTCAACCAGGTCTTGCAGTGCTGCGTACAGCATATGGGATCCTAGTCTCAGCCCTTGGAGGCCACATTGCCACATCCCAAATTTGTGGATACCCAGTCTCTACCTGATGTAGAAGTTTCTGACTGAGCACAGTGACTTGGGCTGGGCACAGTGGCTCATGCCTGTAATCCCTGAATTTTGGGAGACCAAGGCAGGAGGATTGCTTGAGCCCAGGAGTTCGAGACCAGCCTAGGAAACATAGCTTGACTTCACCACCACAAAAAAATAAAAATAAAAAAGTGAGCCAGGTGCGGTGGCACACACCTGCAGTCCTAGCTACTCAAGAGACTGAGGCAGAGAGATTGCCTGAGCCCAGGTGGTCGAGGCTGTGGTGAGCTGTGATCATGCCACCACACTCCTACCTGGACAAGAGAGTGCAACCTCAACTAAAAAAAAAAGTTTCTCACAAAGTTTCACTGGGCCCCCAAGTGCTCGGCGTCCCTTTTATTGACTTCCAAATGTTTCCCAGACTCCATTAAGCTTCTTTAAATATCCTCTGGTTTTTTTCCAGTCCTGGTTTAATTCTCATTCCCCTCACCACTGTGTGACTTTGACCACAGGAAAGATGATTCACTGAGTATTTTCACTGAACACTGACACGGCCTGTCTGTAGCCAGTGCCATGCAGGCAAGTGCCCTTGATTGATGTTCACAGGGTGTGGGAGAAAGAACAGAGTGTTGCAGACCCAGGCCAGTCGCAGCTCAACCACTTTTGAGCTCTGTGACCTCAAGCAGGTGATTTTACCTTGCCGAGCCTCGTCTTGTCCGTCTTCAAAATGGGACTCAGAATGCATAGCACAGACAGTAAGAAGGAGATGACATACGTAGACCCTGGGCACAGGACCCGAGACTGTGAACACTGGCGTCACTTCCTCCCCTGCCTTTCTCTTTTCCCTGGCCTCCCCCATACCTCAAAAGGGGCCTCACCCCTCTCCCCGGGTTTCATCTTGCTTCAGAGAAAGACGTAAACTTACACCTCCCTAAGGCAGGCCGCTGCACCTCCAGCCTTCCGCCCTTCCCCTTCTCCTGTCTTTCAACTCTCCCTTTCCACTAGCTTCTTATCCTGAGACTACCAATACGCTCGAGTTTCTTTCGTCCTGAGAAGAAAACACTATCCCTGCTTCCATGCGTGACTTGCTTCCTGGTCATGATTTTTCAACATTCTTATCATCAAAAGCGCATATAGTCATTTTGCTTGAGGTAGTCTGGAACTCTGCGTGTGTAGTCTTGGGGGTGAAGCCACTGGTGCACCACTGGTATTCAGAAGATTTTCAGCATCGTTTCTTCCTTTGCCAAATGTTTAAAGACTCTCAAAAATTCCTGCTTAGAAAAAAAATTCCAACATAGGTTCCATGAGCTGTTGTCCGACTTAAATTCAGGGGCCTCGCTGTGTTTTCCAGGCAGATCTTGAACTACTGGCCTCAAACAATCATCCCACCTCGGCCTCCCAAAGTGCTGGGATTATAGGCGTGAGCCACCTCACCCAGCCTTCACTCACTATTTTTAAAAAGCATTGCATATATGCCATCAAATTTGCCCTTGTGCTTAAAACTCTAGACTGTATAATCCTTATTCTTTGTGATTATTGCCCAACTTTTGTAGAGTGAGTTGGGAAATGGATAGTGTACTGTAAAAACGTCTGCCCTTTAGGGAGGGTAGTCCTTCACATTTCTTGAACATTCATCCTACTGATGAAAACACATTGCTTTATTCCTCACTGAAGGGCTCCAATTCCTAGACCTTTTTGCTACTTACTTATGGCCAATCTTCTCCCATTCTTTCAGCTCTATTCACCATAACTCTCCCGTATTAACTCTTAGCTAGAGATGAACTGACTGGTTCCCTGTTTGGCAAACACTGCCCTCACTGTACCCCCATCTCCTCTCTGCCTGTCAACACACTCCCCATCATAAAGGACACACTCCCCATCATAAAGGACCACATCAAATCCCACACCCCTCATGACATCACAACAGAAAACATGTCCTCTCTCCTCTGGACATCCTTGGTGTTTCTAGCTGAGCCATGAAGGTATGCTGCCTTGGAATGGCTCTCTCTTACTTTCTGACCTGTTGTGTGACTTGACGTAAGGTGTGTGTATTTTGTCTCCCAATCAGCCTGCAAGGTTCCAGTGGGCAGGGGTCATCTCTTCTTCCAATCCCCTGCCATCCCAAACATAACCTTTGACATAGTCATCACTCCATATGGCCCGTTTCTGTTCCCTCCCAAGTAGCTTCCAACTCTAATTGATCTTCACTTTATTTCTGACTCTTTCCACAACACGATTTTTTTAAAAAATTAACCCCATATAGATGGAAAACCTCCTTCTTCCAGCTTTGGTTTCAGATGTGTCTTCTAAATTATTATTATTTTTAATCAAGATGGGGTCTTGCTATTTTGCTCTGGCTGGTCTCAAATTCCTGGGCTCAAGCAATCCTCTCACCATGACCTCTCAAAGTGTTGGGATTGCAGGTGTGAGCCACTGCGCCCTGCCTGGTTTCAGATGTGTCTTAATAAGTATATTGGTTATTCCTTCTTCTAGCCACTAACTGATAAGTCCAAGAATATCATAAATTGAATACCTGCTGTGTGTGGGACACTGAATCAAGTGCTTGTATTAAAGATTATTGAAAACTTGGAAAATGTGGCACAAAAGAACAAGAGAGTGTGTGTGTGTGTTTATTTTTATATATAAATTCACTTAACACCAAAAATATTAATATTGCAAATGGATATAATTAAAAAGCACCAGGAGCTTACAGAAGAGCCATTACAGTGAATTGTGCTTAATTGGGGAGATTTGTCTTTAATCGGGTCGTTAGGACCCAAGTCTTGAAGAAAAAAGAGAGAGCACAGGGTCCACATCATTTCCCCCCTCCCACTGTGGTACCTGACCCATGCAGACACGCGTTACTACTGGCTGAATAAATGAAGGAAGGAGTCAGTCTCACGCAGAGAGGCCAGCTCATGCAAAGAGAACAAACCCGTCGTGAGAAGAAGCAAACCTTTTTTCCTGGATGGAGCCAAGAAATTTCCTGCAAAATGGTAGAGAGGGAGGAGAAGAGAAAAACGAGGAATGGCACTGAAGGTCTTGCCGGGATTTTGGTTTCACAGCTAGTAAATGGATAGCACTTTGCTATCCATTCGTTCATCTGTTGAGCACCTCTAGGTGCTAACGCTTTATGCTAAGACCTAGCCATTCTATAGTGAACAGAACACAGTCTCTGCCTTCAAGAACCCTGCAGCCTTTTCATCACGAACTAGTACGTGATGGCTCATGCTTACCACCCTGATGGTTGCTATTCTAACAGTATTTAGTATGAGAGCCATGTGCCTGGCCTCAGTCAAAGAAGGCTCTGGCATCATAATCACAGATGATTCGAAGGCAGCTAAAAGGATCTAGAATTCAAGAAAGAGCCTTCTGCCTGGAATGTTGTCTGGGATTATCAAATGATTGAGTGAGTAGCTGTAGAACAAGGTCAAGTTTATATATGTGCTGTGCAGAAGGCCAGACCTGCCCGTTTCCTTGGTTTTGGGTCTAAACGAGGGGCAGAGAGAGAGAGAGAGAAAGAAGACAGTCACACTTTTTATCTAAATTAACTATGTTCCTAGGGCCACGGTTGAAATAGGTTTTATTAGAAACCAAAAACAGAATTTTTTTTTTTAATTTAGAGGCAAACTTCCGGGGTCAGATGACTAAAACAAATGAATGTTAGAGCCGACATGAAAATAAATGAGACATGGAAGCAGTGCTCGCAACAACTGTGCTTAATGAGTAGACACTGGTTGGCTTATTTCTGACATCTTATGAATTCTAAGATCACTGCCCATGACTAGAAGATTTGGGGCCTCATTTTCCATTTATCTCATTTTTTTTCCTTTCTCTCTTTCCTTCCCGCCCCCCCAGGATGATGGCCTCCCAGAAAATGAACATCAACTGTCAGTAGCTGGAAAGATAAAGAAGCATTTCAACACAGGCCCCAAGCCGAACAGCACAGCAGCAGGAGTTTCTGTCATAGCAGTAAGCATCTGAAATATCCACCTCTAACTTTTTAAAAGCAACCTGCCTAAGAGACAGGCATTACTCAGGAGATTCCACTCAGAGACAGCAGAATGGGTCATTTCTTTAGACAGCTCAGCCATTTAATGCACCGGCGGAGGTACGGGGCTCATATAGACGATGTGTTTCTGCAGATTGTTTCCTTGGGTGTCAGTCACATCATTATCCAGCACCTCCAGGGTGTGTCGCAGTGTATATTAATTTCACGGTTTATTTTTTTGAGGCAGAAAACCTACCCCCACGCTGGACTCTGTGCCAGTGCAAACTTTTTGACTCTAAAAAAAAGAGTTTCTGGTGTCCTTTTGCCATACCCGAAAGGGAAGGGTGACTGAGAGAGACAGCATTGCAGAGAGAGATTGGAACACGTCTAGATCTTCCTATGAGACCTAAGTGCAAGCCAACACATAGCAGAAAGCTTACACAGTGAGATTTTCAGTGAAATTGAATTACTGTGAACACCCAACAAAGTCATAATGTCTTGCTCCTTAGAAATTTCTGTTCTATACATGCAGACATACTCTCCATGTAATTTGATAGCCGCTCTAGGCAAAGATTAAATTGGGCTGAGGAATAATGAAACCTCATACTTCCTGGTGTCATATTCTAGAGTCAATATATTCAAGTCCCTGATTACTTGAGTTTTTAATAATTTCCTCTTTTTTCGGAGTATGTAAATTTTAACAGCGTATTCAATGTGAAAATCACTTAAGCTGTTTTTCTTTTCTGAACAAAGAACTTAAGGCGCTGTGCTGTAGACTTTTTCTAAAGTATCTATGCTATTCAACAGTATGGCTCACTCATGAACGGTACTGAATACTGAGCGTGTGTTTCTGCGTGTTTTTCTTTTGCTTTTTCGTTTTTGGTTGTGCGAGGGCTCTAGGTAAAACCATAAACAAATGACTTATTCGATACCGACAGTCCCAGAGCTGGATCACTAAATGTTTGAGATGGGTTTCTAGAAGTTGCAAATGGTACACATGCAGGCATACAGGCTGTTGTACTGTTGGCATTTCAACTGAGCCCTTTCAAAAACGGTTTATATACGCGTGAGTACCTGGCACATATGTAAACCGACAGTACTGAGTAAATCGCATACCCTTGCAGACGTTTCTCAGTGCCGCTGAGGTTTTTAAAATTTCAAGTTGTCCTTCTTAACCTCTCTCTTTGGTTCTTTCTGAGAAAATTCGATGTAGAAGTAAATTGTTCTCCACCTCTTCCAACATATGGCCGGTGTTCTTTGTGATGAACTGATGTTCAGTCAGTCCTTTTTGAAAGTCACAGTATTTCATGGCGATTCTCAACTAACCCAGACATTCTCGACTCTGTTTTCATTGTTCATTCAAGATAAAAGTCTATTCCAAAACGTGTGATTCCATGATTTTCTTTTGGAACGGACTGCCAGCACGCTTGCCCATGAAAAGGACTGCCTTTCTGCTCCTGCTGAGGGCTTACCACTGCGAGAGAGGGTGCCTTTTCTACTTCTGTCATTTTGCTTTTGTTTATTTTTCTTTTCCTGGTCTTTTGTTTTAGTTAGTCTTTGGTTAAGTTTGCCTTGGTTGCTCAATATTGGTTTGTTCACAGTATCCTGGGAGTCTAATAATGACTAAGGGCAACTTTCCAATGAATAGACAACACATATTTGAAGGCAAATCCTATTTAATCATACTTGGATAAATTTCAAGACCTAATCCATGTGGGTTTATTCAAACCTCATCTAAGTAGATTTCAAAACACTCCAGCTACTATTTGAAGATCGGGGTCCACTATTTTTTTTCCCCTAAATGTCATGATTGGACCACTTTGAATGCAGTTTTGAATGTGAGTTTCTCAATTCATCACTAACATGTTTTCCATGGAAACTGCACAAACTGGTGATATATTTACAAATTGTGAAGTGGGCTGTGTAATGCTGAGCTATGTATCAGTTGCGTGCCTGTTTAATCTTCTTTGTCCACTACAGATCTTTTAAAAAATAATTACCAGCATAACTCAAACTCAAAATAATTGGCTGTTTTTAGAAAAGTATATATTAAAAAGTGCCTATCAGCGCTCCAGCACAATTCGCATGTTAATTACCAGCATTAATATTTCAAGCATGAAAGAGACTATCGATGTAAATTTCACAGATTGTCACAAGAGAACCTGGCCTACCATAATATGGGCTTTCACACACCTTCACCCAAATGCCTTTCTCATAAATGTCTCGACCTTCCCCAAGAACCTGGGAGAAGCCACCAGTCACAGGACTAGGCTGGGAATTAGAAACTGACAATTTTGGCTGCCTTTGTCCATAACTTTCAGAATAGCACTGGATGAGTCCATTTATATTCCATAAACATTTTTCCATACTTAAAGCGCAAAGACCAAGTGTCAGGAACTATCACAAGAAAAGAAAAATCCCTGGCATTGAATATTATTCCAGCTCAAATGGAAGTATCACTGCCAAGCAACAATATTCTGCTGTGAGGCAGAACATAAATATGGAGTCAAAGGAACATCCTTCATACGTGGTATAAAAGACACGTTGATAATTGAATAATTTAACTATTGATTCATCCGCATCATAAAAATCTGTGTAATTGATAGAATACAGTGATGACTTCTGCTTGATAGATTTAGAAAAACTGATATCAGCCTGCATTTCATCCAAACAGAATTTTCCTGGGCATATAAGCTCTCCCCAGAGGCTATAAAATAATGTATTTTACGTTAAACTGCCTCTATCATTATTTTTTAGAAATTACATGCACCTTTTATAATTTAAAAAATACTATTGAGAATATAGTGTTAGTGTTTTGGGGGGTATGAATCAATTGAATCATTAGTTTTTAACTGGTAACTTCTCTTTCCTTAGTTAGAAACCTAACTACCTGCTGGAGATCACCAAGGCTCATAAAGGATTCTGTGATACTTTTCTTTCTTAGAATGACAAAAGAAAAAAGAGCATACTGTCATAACCAAAACAGTCTCTTTCGCAGGTGCAATTTATGACATGAGTGTAGTTTAACATGTACTCATGGTTCTGAGCTGTAATGTTTTTTTGTTCGTGTTGTCATTTTTTTTTATTCTCTGCTTCCCACCCCCTACATTATGAAGACCAAAGGAAGGGCAAATGATAACTTTATATTAAGGTTGCAGGAGGGCCTCGAGTTGACTAGGAGAGTAATTACCAGTTGGCAGCTCGCAGGGATAACACGCCCTCCTGAGAGGAGGGAAGATTCTGACATTAGGTCAAGCCACGTGATTAAGTGGAAAGCCATTGCTGTCCCGACTGCCGCAACATTCTGCCTCTCAGAAAGCTCCCCTGTCCCTCTGCTACCTTTCCCAGTAGTGGAGTATTTTAAAAAAGGGGGGGGGGGAGAGAGAGAGAGAGAGAGAGAAACAGAGACAGAGACAGAGAGAGGGAGGGAGAGAAGGAGAGAGGGAGGGGGAGAGAAAGAGAGAGAGACAAAGGGAAACAAAAGGTTATTAAAATGCAATTTATAGACATAAAATGGATTAGAGATGACATTTTAACGGTGGACTTTCTGAGAGCTGAGGGAGGGGAGAGAGGCATTATTAGATTTGCACAGCTTGATGAAGAACTGATGACTAAGATGTCAGTTCCAATTTATTTTTCCTCATTTAATGCTGTTTATTATTTTCACCAATAATTTTCCTAATGCTTTAAAGTTCTTCTTTTTGCATTTTGCTCATGCAAATGGAGCATTTCGGTCTAATTGAACAAATCCATACTAATCAGCGTGCACGTAATTGTGATCCTGGGAAGCTTCAGTCTGAAACGAGAGACCGGTTATATGACACTTGGCCTGCAGATGGCAACAGAGAGCTAATTACTAAGTGGCCGTCTGTGGGCTAAAACAAGTGCACACCTTCATCTTCCTAAGAGCAAGTGTACTTCGATTTTTTTTTAAATAAAATGAGGTGTACGTTTTTTTTAAAAAACATTAAAACTTCCCATTGCTTTCTGTGAACAATGGGATAGCCTAGTTTATAATCAGAACACCAAATCCTCCGAGCAGTTTTTAGTTGAAATGCCTGGCGCCCTGGCATGTTTTTGAAATGCCTTTGTGAATTTAGAAGTAGAAACTGTCATCAGCATCACACCAGTAACGCACTTGAAAGAACTCGTGAACCTCCCCGTAAAGAAAGTATGCTCAAGCTGCATCCTCTCATGGGCGGAATGAGGAGGCAGGCATACAGCACAATGATGGTTCTTCAGGTTTGGGGATTGAATCTTTTATTCCCAGGTAGCCAAAGGCTAACATCTTATTCCAGGATGAACAACTTTGAGAACTGGCCCTATCTTCGATTTATTGTACTTTTTGTTAATTACAAGCACTTAACTGTACATGTGCATCTTTCATAGACAATGAAAACGAGCTTTTGTTTCTTTTGGTTTGCATATTTTCATAGAGAAGAATTTATTGACTATTTAATACTGTAACTTTTCAGTTTGGAAATGTGATTAAGATTCACCTCTAAGAGTAGTTCTGCTTTTGAGGATGAACTCTTAAGGAAAGAAATTCAAATTGCTGGGATTGATGGGGTTTCGAAACCTGATTCTTTCCCTCTTTCATTTCATAGTGACGAAACCCTCAAATTTAAACCTAATGGAGGGGGGATGATACTTCTGGGGATCCAGCCTGCTTTCTCTTGGGTGGTTAATTTAATAACGAAGCACTTTCCACTCTATGGCATTTGAAGAGGTGTTTATGTCTTTTGAAATGGAGAGGGCATGATTAAATTGTGCATTCGCAAACTTGTTTGACAAACTAGCTCTATGCTAACAAATTGGCCTCCAAGATATTCACAAGGGATTCATGTCTTTTCTTGCTTTTCTATGTTCAATGTGCAGATTTAGGCTGTTAGCCAGTTACCCTGCAGAAGAGGCATCGTAACTCTGTGTGTACATAAGACAGTTAGTGAAGAGCAGCTTGGTCTGGAGTCGTAATTCTTTAGCACAATGTCGATCCACTGAGTTGCCCCCATTTCTCTCTGCTCAGCTGGACCACGGGTTTACCATCAAGAGATCAGGGTCTTTGGACTACTACCAGCAACCAGGAATGTATTGGATAAGGTATGAGATGGTGCAGCTCAACAGTCAGTGTTTCCATGGCAACGTGCTGGCAGTCTCCATCAACCAGTTCCTTTGGTGGATAAACATGCTTTTGATTTGTTACTCAGTCCATATGCTGCTTTATCGGTTTCGTTTTAATCTTGATTGAGATGCCACACCCCCTCATTCCTTTTTTTCACCCATTATTCACACTGACATTTGCCAGCTTTCTCTCCATTGCACATGCTCGGTGTCCACTTTCCTATGGTTAAAAGGACAGTATATTTAGTGCAAATACGCTAAAGCGGTTTCCTGACGCTGCTCATTAAGGCAACGCTCTCTGGTGCTCTTCTGTCTCTTAACAAATGGAAGGACAATGGCACGTCAGCGTGTGTTCTATAGAAGCATATACTGTCATTTTAAAGTCATCAAGCCCGACCTTGACCTGATTAGATGAATGAAACAATGCATTTACACGTTAGTAGTAGAAGCGCCTCAGAGTACAATGGGCTACAGAATGCATTGTGTGTGTTGGTAAGCTTGTGTTTTCCAATCCTCCACCTTTTTCTGTTTTGTTTTTGTTTCATTGTTTCCCCACCCCACTCCCACCCCAGAAATCCTTCTATGTACTAGCTATTGCATGAATTTATCTTTCGATATTTTGTAACTGTCAGATTATTTAGCTGGCTTATCTGCTCGAGCAAAAGGGACTCTGGGAGGTATTGATTGTTTTTTAAACTGGGTTAAGAACTCTATCCAACCATTTTCTATTCCAGCCAACTGCTTTGGCATTTCCTTCAGGGGCATTATTTGTGTCTCTTTAAGTTATCCACAAGCAGGATGGTTTTTGATGGTTTGAGAAATGGACTCTGAGAAGTCCTAGGGAACTTGTTTTCTCCATTGTAATGTTTCTGAAATGGTGTCCAGGTAACACTCCACATCTTCATGTTTGCAAAAAAAAAAAACAATCACCTGATTTTGGCATTTGTTTTCCCCAAACTATGGAGTCTAGTTGTAGTAATCTAGTTGCTTCCATAATTAGGTTTCATAATTAGGCTGCTAAGTTTTATCAAAAAAGAAGAAATATATATGTATGTATAAATACATATAGTGTGTATGTATATATACATATGTTATATATATTAACCCCCAATTATTACTCCTAATTATTTTCTATAATCAGACCCTCAAAACAAAAGACATAGGAAAGCAGAAAGAGCATACCTTGATAACTGCTCTTAGTATCTCCTTGATACTAAGATAGTTTCCAAATCCGTTTAAAGTAAGAAAACACCCAAACCTCAATAAACTATTTTAAAGTCATTTTTACATAGAAAGTTATTTGTATCTTCTCCGTTGAGATGCATGTAAGAGTTATACATCAACCTTTGTATTTCTCTAAGTAATTAGCCTGATAGATGTAGAAAGAACTTTGTTTTGTGTTTGACCTATTTTGGGCAAGTAGGGGGAAGGGTGAATTCATCATAATTTGCCTTTTTGCATACTCTGACTTTTGACTTTTTAACACAGCAGATGATTCATCCATCTTTTACTTTATCTGAAAGAATATATGTACTTACAGAAGAGTGCCCATGTCAAGAATGCACATCTCAGTGAATTTCCCAAGTTAAACATGTCCCTGTAAGTAGCACCCAGATCAGGGAAAGGACGTTCCCAGCACCCCTGGGGGAACTCCCTACCCTCAGGTCCTCCCAGGAAGGTTACTTTGCCCCAAGGGTAAATACTGACCCCAAAGCCTATCCACATTAATGAGCTTGGGCTGGCTTTGTACTTTATATAAATTGAATCACACCATGCTGCATCCTTTTTTTAATTGTATGTCTCTTAACCTCAAGCCTATTCACCAGATCTGTATGTGTAAAGGTGATATACAATTAAAAATAGTTATCAGGTATGCCTAATTACAGTTGTGCCATTTGTATAAGAAAAATGACACGTATAAATTCACCTTATTCCTCCCAAAAGGTAAGCCTCTCGAAAATTAAATGACTACCTTTGTAGGATTAAGGGTGGGCGCAAAACACCAAGTAAACACAATTATTAATAAACATAGCCAAGTATAAAAAGGCCATTTAACTAAAATCCTAGTGACGGTTCCCATCAGCAGACAAAATGACGCATCCCTGAATAACAGGCAGGAACAGATGGGAGATAATCTCTTTCTTCTTCCACACATAAACTGCTCTGTGTTCCAGCTGGGGGCAGTAACAACAGTGTTTATAGTCAATGCCACACTAAACAGCACACCCAGTATGTAAAGCTAAATTGGAGAAATGATGCTAAAACCTCATCGGCATCTATGCTTAATTAGGAAGTTTTATAATGCCATTTAGCCCCAGAACGCACACTCTGCTCACGGATGGCAAGCGCTTGCCTTTTATCTCTGCAGAAGTGGGCGCATTTGTCTAACCATGGTGGCAGCCAACTTTCCAACATAAACAATCATTACAGGCGGACATCCCTGCTCCCGATGGTTGTGTTTCAAGTGCTCGTGGCTGTTTTTGCTATTCTGAGCAGATTGCTTGGGAATCACCCTTGCTTTTTGCAAAGCGGCTCGCATCGGGACACAGGCTGGGAAGAAAGCCACCTCCTTGGGGTCTTCTTCATGGGCCTTTTGGTAACTATAGAGAGATACTGGGGGCCCATTTTCCTTTCTGTACTTCACTCTCCTGCTTCTTGACAGAGAGCTGCTTCCGAGGGAGCGGCGTCCTCCGCTAGGGCCATTTACCCAGGAGACTGTGTTCCTGTCGCCCAGGGTCCAGCAGGGACACCATCTCACGAAGGCGCTCCCTGGGTTGTTGCACACCTCCTGGCCCAAGGAGCCATCCTTGTCCCCACTGCAAGCCACTGGACAGCATTTACATCTCATGACACGTCCCCTCTTCTGAAAACGCATCCTTATTCAAAGGGGATGCGGTCACGCATGTGTCTGCCTTTCCCAAGTGAAGCTGTCACCCTGACAGGTGCTGGGGCCAATAACACACAGAGGACTCTGCCTCTTCAGCACGCAGAACAGGGCGGCCGCCAGGACCGGGTAACCCAATTAAGTAAAACAAACACCAAACCGAGACATAAGCTAAAAATGCCAGGCAAGATGAAGTGGGGAGGTGAGCCAGGACAAAGGGGTGGTTGAGTTCCCAGGCGTGATGTGACTAAAACGTGCATATTGGATTCGAGCACCGGCCTGAAACAGTGAGTAATGAGGCAGAGAGGTGGCAGCCACATGCCGCCTTTGCAGGGCTCTTAAAAGCTGTCGTGCTCGGCTGTTAAAAGGGATGGGGTCAGTTCGATGCATCTTGCTCGAAGCAAGTCTGAAAGCACTGTTCCAGAAAGGAACCACGGTGTGGCGTGAGAAGGTTCTGGGGCCGGCCCCAGGCAGCGGCATCCAAGCACACAGCGGGTTGCAGTGCGCTGCAGGTTGCCTGGTGGCCAGTGGGCTTGGCCTCGCTCTGCTGGGTGACAACGCAATCCCCACTGAGGGTCAGAGCACTGCCAGAAGGAGGGACAGATGCCTCCGTTCTAGCAAGGGATTAGCAACCCCACCCACCCATTCCTGAGGTTTTCTGCAAACCAGAAGGTCGTAGGGCTTAAGTTGAACACACAGAAAAGGCATAGATGTAGACCTCCAAACAGCTCCAATGTTGGTTAGAGAGAAGTCTCGGGAAATTAGTGAGGCTTGGTCTTGCCACTGTAACTTGATGCCCGAAAGTGAGTTATTGATGCCCGAGAGTGAGTTACTAGGCCAACAGGCTCAAAGATGAGTGGTACCTGTGCCTGTTGCTGTGTAAAGGTCACCAAAGGTCACTGAAAGAAACACGGGAGGAGTGAAACATCTGTATTGCCTTTTACCAAGTCAAGCAGGTGGCTCGCTATTGGAGCTTCGATTGTTTGTTTTGTTTTCAGAGGCCCCGAAAGAGAGGATTCTAGTGACATGCGTATGTCTTTTTAAAATTTAACTTACCTGTTATCAAAACTGAGAGATTGCCATGGCATTCCAAGTCTTACTCATTCAGCGTAAATTTAGGTGTGATTTTAACGTTTTCCCGAGAATCTTGATGATGGAAAATGATGTGGCATCATATTTATTCTGACCTTGTTTCAAAATCCTTCTCTCATTTTGATTCACTCTTCTGCTTATTCACGCCTGCCACACTTTGTGAATGTTCCTTAGTGACATTCATTGATAGGATACAGGCTTTATCAGGTGTAAATCTATAGGAAGGCATACATAAAGACCTGAATTCTAAGTATCAGTGCATATTTGATCAAGAAAGAGTATAAATGTCTAAACGCTGAAGTTGGACAATTCTCAAGTACACGTCAAACACATGGCCCTTTTAGAAAGGAGAAAGTCTTGGAAATGGACAGGAAATGAACTTGATTAAAGATTGGCAACCCGGTGTATGGGAGAGAATGTGGCTTGGCAGTCAAGAAGCCCTGGGTTTGCACCTAGATCCATCCCATTTCCTGCAGAGTAGGCAAATTGCAGTCTCTCTCTGACTTTCAATTTCCCCATCTATAAGAAGGAGGAGAGTATTACCCACCTTCCAAATCTGTGGCGAGGATTCATTGAGCTGCCTATGCAAAGTGCCTTCATAGCCCCCAGCCCAGAGAAGAAACTCAGAAAACATTGCTTTCTGTTTCTCTCATTTCCAAAAGCAAATCACCCACTCCACAGCAGAGGCAGATTTTCCTGAGGAAACTGATTGCTCTTCAGATCAAAGCATTTGTTATTAAAGTAGAATCATGAACTTGTTTGATGCACTGATTAAAGTAAACTGCTCGGTAACTTATATGTTACATTTCCTGTGAGCACTTGTGGCATCAAATTTCACGGAAAGTAGCCATAGCCAAAAATCCTAATGAAGTATGAGTTTAAACGCTATTCTCTAGAGCAGGGCTCTTGGGAAAGTATGACCAATGGGCCAAAGTTAACTCAGTGGTGTTTTTTTTTAAATAAAGTTTTATTGGAATGCTGTTACGTCCATTTACAAATTGTC